AATGCGCGAACAAAAAATTGCCAAAAATAACGGCAAGTTGAAGCTACTTCAAACTTGCACTTTAGTATACTAATGGGCTACATACTCGAAACAATCGTAGAAAATCTGAGTAAAATGTTAAAAATTTAGATCAACATTTGTTAAAATTAGTCTAATTTTTATAAATTTTCTACAAAGTTTGCAATTTGGATTTACTTACATATTTTTTAAAAAAGTAAGTTATATTTTCATAAAGAAATAGTATTTTTTTTTTTAACAAAGAAAAGTATCCAAAACTTTCTTTCCCTATTTACATTCTCGCCACCGTATATTTTCTGTGTGTACATTAGGCTGGGTCTATTTTGTATGGGGGAAAATAAACTGCATTTGACCGTATTATAATAGTAATATTATGATGTCTTATGTCTAAGCCGATTGTTATTGGCTACGAAAGATTAATTTAAAACTTATCTTTAGCCCGAGCAATTGAATCAAAGTATATGAATTTTGAAAATGAAACTTTGGCTTGTAATATCTATGGAATGCGTTAATTGTTATAAACAGGACGATATATCAAATTAAGGGTTATTGAATTAGGTACCTCACGTTCATTTATCATTTCTCAATAAGTCTACAAGTTTTCTAGATATTAAGATAAAACTTACAAAAACTATAATTTTCCCTTATGAATTTTCAATTCTTCATTACTTCAGCAACCAAGTGAAAAATACAAAAAAGTGAGACGCGATTTATTTCAAACGTTTTAATGTGTTCGGATGTTTATATAATATTAAAAGGACCATGGGCTTGGGCACGCCGATTTGGTAAGTTTTCAAGATCGTGGTGAATCGTTTGATAAGTTGATAGTAGTTTCAAGCATATAAGTATTTACAAACATTAACGTAATACAATTAGGGTGAGAAACGACCATTTTAAGTTCATTTATGTTCTCTTGAAAATTGGTGCGGAATTGTTTCATTAGTCGCCGAAGAAGCACATTTTTCGCGGTTTCTAAATTTGCCGTTATATGAAAGTAGGGGGCGTGCAATAAGTGTTTAGATATACATAAATATTTTAGTTAACTCCATTATGTGAAAAAGTGACTGTAGGTGAATGCAACAGTCTTTAACATATTCTGGGAAATCCTTTTGAGGACTCTCCAATTGGACGACATTGCTTTGCTTTCAGCTTGAACGAAAAAAGTCACTCCCTGGCATACTATTCTGTAATCCGGTTGAGATCCGCCTAAGTGTTTCGATATAACTTTGGTAAATGTTACTCGATCGGTACGTAATAATTTCCAAATTGAAGGCGAGACTTACTGTTACTGATTTATGATAATAATATGATGAAAATCATTCAGATTATAAACAAATTATTTTGAAATAAAAAAAATGTTGAACAAATTTTTTTTTAATTTTCCAAAAGATAAAATTCGCAAACTGTATTAGCTATATTAAAAAAAAGGTTAGAATATTCGGAATCAGCGACCTAAATGCACGCTAGCAATATTAATGCAGTTCTTTACATCTTTCGACTATTCAATTCAATTAAAATTTTATTGAAAACAGATACATTTGAGATTAACCATAAGCTAAAGGGCTGCGAGAAATTATATTTGACTTTATCTTTTGCGTTAACGGATTCATTATCTAATAATATGCACCAAATCTTTTTGCTGAACTCAGAATTTTTAACAAGAATTGGTCTTATTCGACTAGTGTGCGCTATGGGTATGGTGACCATCCGTTCTGTTTTCTGCAGGACCGTACTGTTTTTCAAAGGTCGGCCCTGCGTTGTTTTTCAAATCTGAAAATCCTGAAAATGTACTGATTTTTCCCAAGTGTCCTGCATTTGTCCCGCATTTTATTCGTTATTTTAAAATTATCGGACAATGGATGGATTTTTTCAAAAAAGTGATTTTTGGTACTTTTCGTAGCTTTTCTTCAATATCTCATGAAAAAATCTCCCAATCAACGTAAGCGACTTACAGCTCGAAGGGTATGGATGTGCCTCTTACCAAAATATATAACTTGTGGCGACTTCAATGAAAATTATCATTACCATTTGCATTTTGTCGTCAAAGTCGAAAAAAGTTAGATTTTCAATCAAATACGCAGTTTCATTTGAATATTTTTTTTCATTATTTTAAAAATTCGATAAAGAAGATATATCACTACAATAAATTTTGAGCCAAAGATAATGAAAATCGGATTAGAAATGTAGATGCTACGGAGCGCAGTCTGCACAAATTATATATTTTTGAAAAGGGCACTTTGTAACTCGTCGTCTACGTCGATTCATGACGTCGATTTTTGACAAATAACTGCGAAAAGTACCAAAAAAAACAAAAAAAAAAATTGTATTGTTTTCATTTTGAACAACTCAAAATTTGCCTATAAAATAATATTTTAAAGATTTTCACTTTTCGTGTAAGCTATTGTAATTATAATATGCTTTACTATACTTTTATAAATATTCATGTAAAAAAAGATTAATATCGATGAAAAAACGTGATTAATTTTTAAAGTTTAAAATGTATTAATAAATTAGAATCATAAATACTCTTTTGATATTTTTATACTACGTTAATATATGTAGGCATATTTTTGAAAAATTGTCCTTCATTTTGAATCCATATTTATGGTCACCGTAGCTATGGGTCACTTGGCGGTCGATACAATTAAAATAAAAGACTAATATTTTGCAGGCTTGTTGTTCACTTCATGATACAATATATTTTCACTATTACCAAGGGATTTGAGAAAAATTTGATTTTCGACCCGCCCTAGTATACATTTTTGCGATAGTTTTTCATGTTTTTTTTCCCTTTGTTTTGTTTTAAATAAAACTTATTAAAAGATGTTTATTCTTAAAACAAAATTGTTTGTTCGGATTCGAAAATTTAGAAATGTTCCGATTTTAGGCCACAGAAATCTGGTCACCGTAACCATTGGTAACAAAGCGTGAATGCCGTTTATGGCCAGTCGGTACGCTGTCGGGTCCAGAGGTTGTTTTATGAACACTGACATCCCTATGCATCCAACTGCTAACGGAGCATAGTTCTACGCTTCTTGCGGGGAGCATTTTGGGCCTCGTCATGTAGTTAGCTCGTGTTTTAGCGACATCACAAGGCATCTCATGGCCGGAGTCTTTGGCAGGTATGTAGCTTCATCCACTGCGTCCTGCTAGTTACCGGCGACCACACGGGCGCTGCATAGTTTAAAGCAGTAATGGGCATACTAAGTTAAGTACTTTTGTATTTAAAGTACAGTACAAGTAGAGTAAAGTAAAGTGGGTACTAAATACTCAAATACTTAAATACTCAAGTAAGAAGTACGTAGGTATTTAGGAGCTGTTATAAACTAAACAACTAAAGTAAAAAAGAACTTAGAGCTGCTGGATACTAAAGAACAAAAAATACTGTGGTGTGGATACAAAATACTTTCACTAAAGTACTAAGGTATTTAGTATAGATCGCTAAATTCTTACAATATAAATAGTTAGTCAGTTGCATTTTATGTACATTGGCCCAACTTTCAAGCTAAAAATACTTTATGATATAGGACAAATTGAAACAATTAACATTTTAACTTATGGCGTTTTCGTTTTTACAAAAAATTTTGCTTTCTCATCACCCTTCTTAGTGTTTGTGCGTAGAGGGCAAAGAGGAGGTTGCAGTTTTCGGTAGAAACGAAATCGGCATTACATACACTCACATCAACACACCTTACCACAACTTACCTCGCTTCACCTTAAATCAACTCACCAGACACAAACTCATCATACCCCATTTAAACTCACCACACCTGATCCTACCAGTCCTTACATCAATTTGGAAACTATTTCGGGATTTTAGAGATTTTCAGTATTCTCGGAACTAAATTAGGATGTTTAAGACTATTTCGGGGTTCTCGCAACTTTCGATACTAATTCCAGATTTCCGGGACTCCTCCGTGATTTTTTTTACTATTCGGAATTCTCGCTATATTTATGGATCTTAATATCGTTAAACTTATTTTGCAATCGTTATATTTGCCGATAATTTTATAGATATACTTATTGTTACCGTTATAATTATAGAAATAGGGCCTAGAATTCTAAAAATCTCGCAAATCTCGAAATAGTTCCGAGAACGCCAAACATTCTAGAGACCTCGAAGTCGAAAATCTTAAAATAAGCCCGAAAATCCCGGAATAGTCCCTGGAATCCATAAATATCACGAAATAAATTCGAAACCTCGTTATAGTTTCGAAAATCTTAAACATCACGAAACAGTATCGAAAAACCCGAAATTATTTATTTCTACACTGAGTAAATAGCAAGTATTTAGCATGATAAAAATATAGTAAGGTAGAACCGCTGAGAGTTACTTTTAAAATTCTTGACGTTTCCAAACATTTTACTTTTTAAATTTACTCACGAACTCACACACACATTTTCATTTTCAATCTCAAGCAACAACAATTTCGAACAATCTTTACTTGCACACTGATAAAAACATATGACAAAAATAAAATAAAAGTACAGATAATAATTAATAATACAATATATTTAGATAAGGTTGAATTGCAAATCATATATTCTAAAATAAAAAAGGTAAGCTTATATTGATTGATATTATATTGATCACGCTCGGAAGAAAAAAAGTGAAATATAAGTATTTTGAAGTTGCCAATGTGCGACGCGTTCTTCAAGGAAAGTGGAAGGGGGTTCCAGAGCCTTGCCGCATTAATAAAAAAAACAGTCTTGAAGTGCATGAATAGTTAAATCTCGGAAGAATAAGACCTGGCGAACGTGTACTCTTTCAGAACTTAAATTTATTGTACAGATATTCCGGGCTCTTCGTGATAGATAATTTGAACATAAAAATGCAATTACGCGCGTTCAGGAAATTTTTTAAATCACAGCCAAGTATAGAATTACGCATAGATGAGAGATGATCGTATTTCTTTAAACCAAATACATACAAAAACCAATTCCGCACGCCATTATCGAGCAGTCGGGAGCATAAGAGATAATGGAGACTACCTCTGGTAGTTGAGGGATCTTCGAGATATTGTATTAAATAAAGGCGGGCGAAGGACACCCCTGTTATATTTTTCTTGGTAGACTAATGTCTAGCACTCAGGGAGAGAGGACGCCATGCTCTATTCTAGTAGAATGGAGAGGTACACTCTGTCAAACGTCTATGACATATCCATTGCTACCAAGACTGTCCTCACAAGGGTGGTTCTGGTTAAGACCTCGAGTTATCTTAGTGTTTATGGCGCAGGTTATATCTGGCACAGTTGAACCATGTGGAATTCCTATGCAGCTTCGTCTCTTGGACCGCAACTATCAGTATTCCATGCCAACCCATGAAGACGGTTGTCTCCTCGATTTTGTTCAGGAGTCCATTACAGTTGAATTGTAATATTTTCTTATGCCTTGGGACACTGATCGCAATATGGGGTGTTAGTGAGGTGTGGTGTTGCCTGCCGGACATTTGTTCCGTATGATGCTGTTGGCAGCACGCCTTGTGTTGGTAGTAGGCTGCACCGCAGAAGAGCTTATGCAGCACTGTAACAAGGAAGTTGCTCGTTCCTTCTCAAGTGGCGCCAGCCAAAACAGGAATTGCAACTGACTGATATCGCATTACGGTATATCCTGGGCCGATACACCTAACTGAAGGTCTGAGAAACTAGGCGCCGTTCGTTTGTCCTCGATCGTGAGTTGCCGCAGCGTGTAGGTGGGTTTGTGGTTGTGTTATGTTGTAAGGTGGTCGTCTTGTGGTTGCGTCGCTCAGTTGACCTTCGGTCGTCCATTGGGGCAGTCTGGGTATTTGGTGGGACCGGTGCGTTATGTGTGTTGTGCGTCACTGAGGCAGCCATGTTATTTGTTTGGTTAGAACAGCACGAGGTCACAAATAACGTGGTCCATTGTCGGTGAGTTCTAAGGCTTGAGCAGGCTCTAAGATGACTTCATCCTTTGCAGGTAAAACGCCTAACTGAAATCGAGTTTGAGTGTAATCATATCTGGCAAAGCGGAACAGATAAAGGTTTCAAATCCAGCGTTTGACATTATGCTATCCCTGAGAGGAAGAATGCGGAGGAGATATTTTCCCATCGACGAGCAACGTTTTAGATATTCGCCGACCTAAACAGGGTCAGGCCGCTGTTGGTCGATCAATGTACTCTCAGAATGCCGTACTTAAATATATATGTTGTTAGCTGTTTTCGGTTCCAAGCCAGAATTTTAAATGAATGAATTGAAAGTACTCGTTCAAACTACATGGTATATTTGTGGAATTATTAAAACTCAACGCGATTTTTGAGCAACTTAAAACTTTCACCTTATTGTGCTAGAATTTAATAAGCTATAAAACTGCAACCAACAAGTGAAGATAAGTTCGGTCGAAACCGAATTTTATATACACGACGCAGGTATCAACTATTGTCGTTCAAACTTTCGTTAAACTACCTAAAAGTATAAAGCAGTCTTATTTATTGTTAATAGATTGTTGTAAGTATAAACTTGGAGTAAATTAACGACATCATTTATTGAAATATAGTTTTCGAATATCCGAAAATTACCGTTATACGGGAAACCGGGCCAATTTAATCCGATTTTAATTATTTTCAATGAATTGCTTTTTCGTACCAGGGTTGATAAATCGGTTACCGAGATACACATTTGTGGTCATAAGTGGGCGGCGCCACGCGTAAAGTCCAAAAATGTATAATAGTCTAATTTTTTGCTCGGTGGTAATTTCAATAATCGATTTTGAGTCAATTAGCTTCAGTTTTCATGCCTCTGTAAATTACCGTTATATGGGCGGTGGGCGTGGCTATTTATTGCCCGATTTCAATGATTTTCAGCAAATTTCTTAGTTGGCTCCTAAGCAAGGCTCGTACAGAGTTTGGTAAGGATTTGTGAAGCAGCTACTAAGATACAGTATTTCGCCATAAGTGGGCGGGGTCACACGCCTTTTCCAAAAATTTCATAATAATATTATTTTGTACAAAAATTCTACTTCATATACTAATTTTCATCAATTTGGATAAATATTTACTGAAATATAATGGTCTTTGCATTTTTCGAAAATACCGTTATACGGCGTGGTTATTGTTCGATTTCGCCCATTTTCAATAGCAATCTCCCTTGGATAAAAGGTATGTAGTGCTTGTAACTTGTTAAATACATACTTGTTTAAATATACTTTGAATAACTTTTAAGGTTGATTATTGTTCATAGCTTTTTATATATTTCAGGAAAATTTTCTTATAGAATAAACACATCTTTTTTAAAATAAAATAAAATTGCATATATAATACACGCTATTATCCTTGCTAATTATAAAATATAACCTNCAACAATTATTGATCGAAACACTCGTTGGCCTGAAGCCTATCCTCTTAGAGAAGCCACAGCAAAATCAGTTGCTACTATTTTCTTCAAAGAGTATATACCACGTTTTGGGGTACCTGCTAAAATTACAAGTGATCAAGGTGTTCAGTTTACATCCAATATATTCAAAGAATTAGCAAAGTTTTTGGGATGTCAGTTAATCACAACCACTGCATATCATCCTCAAGCTAATGGCATGATTGAACGTCTACACAGGCAGTTGAAAGCTTCAATTTTGGCGAGGGGAAATTCTATAAATTGGTCGGATGAACTTCCTCTGGTCTTATTGGGTTTAAGGTCTTCATTCAAGGAAGATATTAAATCTACTGCAGCAGAATTAGTTTATGGTCAAAATTTACGTTTACCAAGTGAACTCGTAGTTCAATCTGAAAATAATTTTAATGTTAATGAGTTTCTTACAAAAATTAAACATCATTTTCAAAGTTTTCATTCAGGCATATCTCATCACCAAAATTCAAGTAAAATTTATATACCGAAAGATTTGCGATCATGCAAACAAGTTTTTGTACGTGTTGACAGTAATAAGCCGGGATTGAAACTTCCATATGAAGGACCATATGAAGTCATTGAAAAACATCCAAAATATTTCAAAATACAGATACACAACACGCATAGGAATATATCGGTTGACAGAGTTAAACCTGCATTTATAGAAAATAATTTTAACAATGTTCAGACAAAACCAAAAAAGCGAGTTACATTTTGTTTGATTTAAATAATTTCAATGTATTTTACTTTTTAACGAAGGGGGAGTATATGTAGTGCTTGTAACTTGTTAAATACATACTTGTTTAAATATACTTTGAATAACTTTTAAGGTTGATTATTGTTCATAGCTTTTTATATATTTCAGGAAAATTTTCTTATAGAATAAACACATCTTTTTTAAAATAAAATAAAATTGCATATATAATACACGCTATTATCCTTGCTAATTATAAAATATAACCTCTTCAGGTAACCTCTCAATTTTTGCTCGAGTTATCGTGTACACGGACAGACGGACGGACGGACATACAGACATGGCTTAATCGACTTCTCTTTTCATTCTGATCATTTATGTATACATTTGTCTATATCTATCTCGATTTTTTTAGGCTGTTACAAACAACCGTTTTGCGAGCAAAGTTATAATACCCTGTGCATAAGTGCGCTCGCGTATAATAATTATTTATTATAGAAATTAAAATTGAAATGCTTGAAATTGAAATGAAGAATTAAAAGTACTCCTTCAAACTACTTGGTATATTTGTGGAATTATCGGAACTCAACGCGATTTTTTAGCAGCTTAAAACTTGCACTTTAATATGCTAGAATTTAATAAGCTATAAAACTGCATACCAAAAATTATTACAAAAATTAAAATTAAAATGCTTGGAATTGGGATGGATAGTTTGTGGAATTTTTATAACTTTTGTACAAAGTCTGAAATTTAAATTTATATGGTATTTGTTAGATACAGAGCTATACTTTCATACAAAAGTAATGGACCTTAGCTGAAGCTAAGCTACTCTATTAATCCGTGGTAAAGCGCATGGTAGTGCCGAGTGGCACCAGTCGGAAGCAGAATTGTGAAAAACCACGAAAGGGGGCGTCCATAAATTACGCAAGTAACTAATTGACTAACTCCTGGTAGTGTAGACAGAGTCGGTGGTGAATACAGCCTAGGGCATTACCTTGTAAAAACAATCGCTTAAATACACGACAAGTAGTCGATCGGTAATCGACGGAGTTCACTTGTTAGCTACCGATTCAACAATCTAGAAGTCGCTCCTAGTGATGTGAATAGTATCGAGTATCGAATAGTATGTATTTAATACTGTTGAGCAATTTGAGTATTCGGTGATTATCGAAAAAATTATGTAGATACTCGATACTCAATCATCATCGCTAAAATATATTTTCATAACAAGCGTCGCCAAAGCAGTGTAACGGGTTGTAAAATTTACAATTTGAGGAGCAGTATATAACCAGCTTTCAAAATGATAATTTACCGGAACACAACGTGGATCAAACAAAGGGAAATTCTGTTTGCTGTGATTTGAATAAAAAATGTAAGCAAGCTCACAAAAGTTTTTTAGAGTCTGCCATTGTCGAGGGTAATCAATATATGCAAGAAGATTTATTGGAGAGACATCGAGATCCGCTCGCGTGGTGGAAAGAATAGGAAAAATATATCGCCAAATAGCTGAAATAGTTAAAAAGTTCACTAGTTTCTATGTAATGTTTTGGTATAAGGGATTTTTAACGGAATAATGTAAAAGTATCGCATACTTTTATTCGATACTTGTTTCCAAACTGTCGACCATCGATGGATTGAAAGTATCGAAAATTTACATCACTAGTCGCTCTCCCGTGCTGCAGGGATCCCAGAGCAATATAGGAAACTCTCGTCATCTTCAGAGAGCTCCTTCGCAGCAATGAATAGTGGCTTATGATTATTATTCCTTCTCTTGCAACTTTTGCTCTTATGTTTCAATTTCTTATGAACTCCACGATTAGCGTGAACCCAGTTTAGTCCGTTTACAAAAATTTTACTATATTGGGAATCAAATTTTCAATTAATTCATATTAAGGCACAAATAAAAGTATGTTTAAACTTGCCTCATGCTACGATCAATGCCTCCTGATGATCTGAGTCGATGTTGGTAGTCACGAAAGCGTGCTCTAGGAACATGTCACCTATTTGCTTCATGTATGGTCCCTCTTTGCCCAAGCTAGTTGGCTTGCATGAGTGAGATCTGAAGGTAGTATGTTTTCTTTACGTAAGCCGCTCTGGCGTTTATATTTGTTCAGCTCCTGTACCAGTTATAACACAGTATATATGTGACTTTGTGTGACGTGCTATCGTTAGTGTTCAGATTAAATTAATTTCCAACATATTCCCTGGCAACCGTGCTCATAAATATGTATTGCGCCTCCATAAGCCGTTGGTTTGTGTCACTTGATAAGGTGTTCTGCTCCAGCGTCTCTTGTGGACAATCATCTGCACAAACTCTTTTGCTTTTATGTGCTGGAAATGTCTGCCTGCTTCGCTAGTGTACCGCCGCCGATATACATAATTGGTGCAAGAGGATATGCTAAAAAAATTTTAATTTATTACATTTTTACAAAAATATTTGCAAATTTATTTCGTTTAAGCTACGACGCACCCCAATTCCAAGAATAAAACATAAACAATAGCAACGAACTTCAAATACATATGTGCATAAATATGTATGTACATATCATACAAAGTTGTATTCTGACGGATGCGTTATTGGTTTCATAAATTATGGCGAAAATTTCTGGAATTTATAAAAGCTTTACATACAATAAAATTGAAAATACAAAATTTGGCATGCATTTAATCTTTCTTATTTAAGCAATATTAAAGATTACGTACACTTTCTTAATAAATTTGCTAAGCAGCTTCCTTAGTTTTTTTCTGGATTTTTGAATGCAGCTCTGTGAAGAAATTGAGCGAACTGGAAATCAGTCTGCCTCAGCGGAGGCGAATTCATATCGTCGCCTGGGTAAAAGATTGTCGTATGTTACGCACGTACGTATGACGCTTACGACAATATTTTACCCAGGCGACGATATATATACATAAATAATCATATACATATAAATTCGCCTTGGCCTCAGCTGTTCAATTCCAGTTCCCTCATGTCTCGCACAGGGTTGCATTGAAGAATCAGATAAAAACTTTACGATAACAATTTTTGGAATAATTTTGTACAGCAACTGGTACAGTAACATTTGAAAATAACACGTATATGCTAGGATGTATGGGTATGTATGTACATATGTACATACGTGTAGTTCATTGCCATTGTTTCTATCATAGCGCAATAGCACTGCTTATAACGGCGGAACGGAGCAGAATCGCGACGGTAGGAATAGGTGAAAATCGTAGGTATACCAGTTATGTATATACATACATATATTATTACGTTCCGTACCAACAATAACATATAGAACAGTGTTTACAGCTTTGATTTGTTTGATAGTTGAAGAGAATAAAATTGTACACAGAAAATAGATTTATTTGTGTAACGAAGAAGATATATTAATATATTTATGTTTCAAGTTTGAATATATTTGCGCATTATTTTTGCTACAAAACTGTCAAATCGTAGTCAGAAAACGGAGAGGACCTAAAATCAACAGATGTTTACGATTTCCACCGTTCGCGCCGTCTTTCCCCGTCCTTTATAACCAGGGCCGCCAAGAGAAAATCCGGGTTCGGTACTAAATATAGAAATGGCCATCATTTGCATGTGAACGCTTTTACATTTACTAGAATATGAATACTGAGTAACCAAATTTATTAACATAGCAAAATACATAATTTATCCCTTCCAACTTAATTTTCGGAAAAATCTGGGCCCTTAGAAAACTTTACTAAAGTATAACAGACAATACTCCTGTGAAAGTGGTATCAAATCCTAAATACTATAAATTTATTACTTGTTCGACGCAGAACAAAATTAATTTGAGATTTGATTCGTCGGACAAATCAAAAAAAAAAAAATTTTTTTATTCTGGTTGGATAACTAAAAAATAAAATTTCTATTTTTGTTTTATTCGTTAACCAAATAGAAAATAATTTTTTTTTTGATTTGATTTGCTTTTATTCTACCTCTTTTCAGCGATGGTGACATTGTGACGGTGAGCCTGGAGAGTGCAACCGGAGAACTCTGGTTGATCTCTGCTTATATGGCGCACGAGGACGGGGTGGAGCCACCTCCGCGCTTAATAAGGAATGCAGTGGCAGAAGCTAGACGCAGGAGGGTCCGCGTTGTTATTGGGTCTGACGCTCAGCTCAGACATCAACACTAGAGGTGAGTCACTCTTTAACTTTATTCTAAAGGAAAATTTATGTATATGTAATAGGGGGAGCGACCCTACTTTTGTAACGGCAAGTAGAGAAGAGGTTTTAGATATCACGCTGGCCTCTTCTGATATAATGTCCCGTATATCTGGCTGGAGAGTCCTTAGTGACCACTCCTTCTCGGATCATCGGTACATACAATTTGCTTTGGACGAAGCGCGTTACCACAAAGGTGGTTGCCTATGCCGATGATGTAGTATTGATAACAAAAGGAAAGTTTCCGGAAACACTGTTTGAGCTTATGCAGGGTTACTTGAGCTTGGTTGAGAACTGGGCTTTTAGCTGCGGGCTGGGTGTAAATCCCAGCAAAACGGAGCTTGTTCTCTTTACTAGAAGGTATAAGTACCGCATTGCCGTCTTCCCTCAATGGGTGGTCTTTCTCTAAGGCTCTCTGACAGGGTGAAGTACTTGGGCTTGATCCTTGACAGTAAGCTTTCGTGGAAGCCTAACGTGGAGGAAAGAATCAAGAAGGCTACAGTAGCACTGTATTGTTGCTGAGGGGCCATTGGCAAGCGCTGGGACCTTTCGCCGAAGGTAGTGCATTGGCTTTAGGAAACTATTATCAAGCCAATCTTATTATATGTTGTACTCGTCTGGTGGAACGCACTCGACAAGGCCTACATCGTCAAGCAGCTGGAGAAGGTGCAAAGAGCTGCCTTAATTGGAATCAGTGGGGCACTTCGAACCACACCTACTCTTGCGCTTAATGCCATGTTACATATTGTGCCTATAGATATAGCTGGCAGAGTTGCCGCTGCGCGAGCCGCAGTAAGGCTAAGAGGGGTGGGCTTCAAATTCACCTCAAGCTATAGGCACTCCAGAATTCTAAGAGACTTCGGGTTCCTACCGACTCGGACAGACCACTGCACGCCGGTTCTGGGTCGGAATGGATCTTTTACCACCCACATCCCGGCGAGGGGAGACTGGGAGAGGTGTAGTATCTGCAATCGAGGACCTGTAAACTTATTTATAGATGGATCGAAGCTGGATGGGAAGATTGGCGGAGGTGTCTTCTGCGAAGAGCTCTCCATCAACTTGAGGTTATCTGATCACTTTAGTGTTTTCAGGCTGAGGTGGCCGCGATAAAAGAGGCCTCGGATTGGTTGCTCTTTAGTGTAATATCTGTCAAGGAGGTAAATATTTATTCTGACAGCCAAGCAGCCATCAGGGCTCTTGGCTCCCTCACTGTGCGTTCGAAAACGGTGAGGGAGTGTTTGACTTCCCTATCGACCGCGTCTGATTACTTTGCTATTAAGCTTATTTGGGTTCCAGGTCACAGCGAAATCGCTGGCAACTGCATGGTTGATGAGCTTGCAAGACAGGGAACCCTCGAGGAATTACTTTCGGATAGGGACTGTCTGGGGGCTCCCCTGACCTCGTGTCGTCTGCTTCTGGACAGATGGGCGTTTAGTCAGCTCAGTGAGCGCTGGGCGAAGACCTTGAAGTGCAAGGTGGCAAAGTCTTTCTGGCCACGGGTGGACCGGGGCGGTCTGAGGAGCTCTTGAGACTACGCAAGCTGCATCTCTCACTATTGGTGGGAGTGCTTACTGGTCTCTGTATGATTGTAAACCATGCTGTAAGCCTGAATGTTGCGGATAACATGATGAGCTCTCGGGAGTGGACATCAGTCGACTGAAGAGCTTCGTTTTGTGCACGGAGCGTTTCTCCGACAAAATGCCATAGGTGTCGTCTTTCTCCCATAGCTTCCTCCCTCTTTCCCCTACCCTCCCTGCATCCCTTTTTTCCCTCGCCCTCTGAGGGCATCACAACGGACAGCTTAGTCGAGTCCACACGCGGAGGCAGCCCGCTTACCTAACCAAACCTAACCTAGGTAAGCCGTAGTGTAGTAGTTAGCAGTGCGCGCGACCACTCCGCAGGCTTGGGTTTAAGTCCTGGGCAAAAAATATAACAAAAAGGTTTTTTCTTAACAGCAGTCGCCCCTCTGCAGGCAATGGCAAACCTCCGAGGGTATTTCTGCCATGAAAAGCAGCTTCTCATAAAAATACATCCGCCGTTCGGAGTCGGCGTAAAACTGTAGGTCCCTCCCCTTTGTGTGACAACATCAAGGCGCACGCCACAAATCGGAGGAGTGAAGAAAAGAGATAAAGAAAAGGACAAAGACAAAGACAGAGACAGAGATAGCGCAAGATATAGGGATAAAGATAAAGAGAAAAACTCAACTCGCCCCACCTCAACTCAAGCCACCTCACCTCACCGCAATTCACCTTAACTAACCACAACTCAACTCACCTCATCTTGCCTGAAGTCATCTCACTTCAACTCACCTTTAATCACTTCAACTCTTCTCATTTCAACTCAACTCACCCCACCTAAACTCACTTAAATTATTGTGGTGTCAACCACTGGGCGAACACTAGTTAAGCTAACTTGATAAAACGCAAATCTACTCACGAGGTACATATTTTAGTCTAAAACAAATTCATATATGTAAATATACATACATACATATATGCATGTAAATAAATGCAGTATACACACTCCACATTAAATCACAACAAACAACGTCAACAAATTAAAGCATTCTATTTTTATATAAGAACAGAACCTTAAGTTTCTCTTCAAATAAAATTGCAGGCATATTAGCCGGACGCGCGTCATTTAGCCAGAGAATCATAAATTATTAGCTCAAAAATTATGGCTTTCAGTCATATGTATTAGACTGCATCACCAAAAAAGTTGCGATTTTTCCGTTGAAATTACAGTATCTATTGCATTTGCAGACTTCCACCACAATATTTCGGAAAAATCTCAAGATTTACGTGAGCTGGACCGATTTAAAAATACATACCTCCAAAAATGGAGTTTTTATGAGTAAAAATAGTTTCTTAAAATATTTTTTTAAAAAATCCTTTCAGATGATAAAGCAGTTTTAGCTTAAAAAATCTGCATAAAAATATTGAAAAATTTGTCAACGGAATTATAAAAGTAAAATTTTTGATGCTGTTTTTTAACTTCATCTTTATTCATTTCTATTTAGACATACATATATTCACCATTCATCTTATCGTTTCATCTAACGTTTAACAGCATACATTTAGGAGGCATTTCCTCCGCTAACTACCCACCATTTCCGCAGCACTTGCAGACAAAGAAGTTTCTCTTCAAAAAGTTGCTCATACGCCTCTGTCTGCAACATAAGTTGTGTTCTTTTACAAAATTATCCAGTAACTTGCCAGTAATTCTCCAGTAACTTAATTTCTGAGAATTCGTTCTCATAGCACAAAAGTACAAGAACGCAAAACCAGTAATAATTTGCAAGTTTTACGAACAGCTGATTAATTTGTTATTTATTCGCGGCTAGTTCCTAATAAAACAATATGTAGATTAGACCGTTCGTTATTTTAACTATTTTTTTAAATAGTAGATACTATATTTAAATAGGTTTATTTTGTCAATTTGAACTATGAAAACCTCATAAACATTTCTTTTATTAGTTTTAATTCCACCCAACAACATGCGATCAGCTATTTTTTCTCACTTGCAAGTTCTTACTAACAAAAATTTATTCAGTAAAAACTAACAACTTCTCCTCAAAAAGAAATGGAAATTTACGCTCTCAATTTCCCCTTTCT